TGTATGATTAATGTGATGAGATTCGCGGTAACGAGCTGCGTGCTCAAAATGATTGGTGGTATATTGCACTGCGTGTGCTTATGATATTGCACTGCGTGTGCTCATGATATTGCATTGCGTGTGCTCATGATATTGCATTGCGTGTGCTATTATGATTATGTTTATGAAAAGCTGGCGAAAAGGTGGCGGGGGGGCATGGCTCCAGAAGGATAAGGTTGGACTGGTGTACATGGTGGTCTCGGAGATAAAGGTTGGAACTTTTATAAGGATGGAGCAGTATAAAGGTTGGAACTTGGAACGTGTAACTTGGTTACGATTTGTTATTCTTGTATCCTAACGTTGTCTTATTGTGTCGATCCTATAGGTAAGTCATGTGTTTGTTTGGATTGACGAGTGTATCCTCCAATGAGTCAATGTTCTGATTTTAAAGCTAGAGTTATTGAGATTATACTTATGTATTCTCAAGTCTCAACTGATTTCCTTATATATATATATATATATATATATATATATATATATATATATATATATATATTGGTTCCTATGAGGTCAGGTCTTCCCGTGCGGTCAGTGCGGCATACACCATTAGGTATGCATAAATGCACCATACAGTGTTCGAAAATACACCAGAATAAAATGCCAAAACAATGCACCACACAAAAAAAAAAAAAAAAATACACCACACATATAGTGTATTTACGAACACTGTGTGGTGCATTTATGCATACCTAATGGTGTATGCCGCACTAACCGCACGGGAAGACCTGACCTCACAGGAACCTGACCATATATATATATATATATATATATATATATATATATATATATATATATATATATATATATATATATATATATATATATATGGAGAAGGGATGAGGTGCATTTGAGGCTTCCCGTGCGGTTGTGCGGTTGGAAGCACATTAAGCATTACATTGACGCACTTTAAGTACACAACACACGCAAATTAAACACATAAACAAAATACATTCAGAAAACAAACTCACGCACATTAAGCACAAAAGTCAGACATCTTAAGCACAAAACTCACGCACGTTAAGCACAAAAACACAGACACCTTAAGATTTAACAACAACTCACATTAAGTATACACTCACACACATTAAGTACAAAACTCACGCACCTTAAGCACAAGACTCACGCACCTTAAACACAAAATTCACGCACATTAAGCACAAAACTTATGCTCTTTAAAGTTTCAACAACAACTCACATTAAGTACACACTCACGCGCATTAAGCATAAAACTCACGCACCTTATGCACAAGACTCACACACCTTAAGTACAAAACTCACGCACATTAACATTACACACTCACGCACATTAAATACAAATCTCAAGCACATTAAGCACAAGTCTCACGCACATTGGTACAAAACGCTCACGCACATTAATCAACCGCACGGGAAGAATTCAACCGCATGGGAACTTTTCACTATATATATATATATATATATATATATATATATATATATATATATATATATATATATATATATATATACATACATACATACATACATACATATTGTACTCAACGCGTTTGAGTGGGTTACTTAGCAATTTTCGCTAACGGTTGCTACACCGCATTTTTTTCAGGTGCAGTCTAGTTGATACAAGAGAGCGCTAGATGGAGCGGAGATTCCTAGTCTTAGTTAGCGTTAGCCTTTACTTTTGACGGCCTGTGAGCCACTATGCTATACAGATGTTATTTACGAATTATGATTAGTTGATTAGTAGCCTATGCATCTAAGTTCTTCGCATAGATGTGGCATAACATCCTCAACTATTATGGTTAGCTTCCAAATTATTTGGGTATAAATGATTAGATTTCATCGTATTTCCTAAGCTTAAAATGTTTTAAAATATGCCTAAAATCGGGGGTGTTACAATAACGTCATTGCTTCGATTCGATGCTGCAACGAACCTTGTTTTTCAACCCCTTCTCCCTCCTCTTCCTGTTTTATGTTCAACTAAAATTCCTTGTGCAGAGGCTGATTAGGCAGACATAGGTGTTTTGTTTTTGGTGTTTAATTGTGTAAGTTGATTTCTGTGGTAAGACTACTCCTGTCAATTCTGGTGCAGTGGATGTTTATTATCATGGACAGTTGGAGAATATTGGAGAAGGAGTAAGCATTTGGAAGAAAAAATTTAGTAAATATCTTCTCCAATTTTTATTTTTTTCACTTCTCAATTTCTCTATTTTTCTGAAAAATCCTCCATTTTTCCAAGTTAGTAAACGATCCTCAAATATTTGTTACAAAAATTTGAAGTATTTCAGCAATCATCTTTCATTTATACTTGCATTTGTTTTGGCTTTATGGCTTACCATTACAGATTGTGCAACCTACAAATGGAAGTTCAACCTGGACATTACCAGAGGATATTTCCAAAGAAAAAGCTTTATTCTTGGAGCCTTTATGACTAATCGCTAACCATTAGAGCTTGAAAAGTTGCAAATGGAAGTTTATAATTTCCACAACACACCACAAACATCATAAGAGACATAATAAGAATTCTGATGAAACTTCACAATACAACATTATCATACATTTTATTATTTTAATGAACCATTGTTTTGATACAATAACTGTTCAACCGACCAACCAACATTATGGAAGATGAACTCCAACAACAACTCAATGAAACATCATTGTGATAACAGACAAACAAACATCAATTTTAGATGAAATTTTTTTCCACCTTTTTAACGTGGGTAATATTGTCTTTTTCCACTAAATTAATTTGAATACGATAAAATTGAACGGAGAATGCACTGGAAGGACCAAATTCGCTAAAAAAGTAATAATCGTGGACCAATTCTGCATGTTTTGAAAGTTGTGGATCAAAGTTGTTAGTGACACTATAATCATGAGACAGAAAGTGCAAAAAAAATCTGTGACTCCCTTTCAAGAAAGTGAAAAAGCTGATTTTGTGCAAACAACCACACTAAAATGTCTAACTTGATAAAATTTTAGTTTGTTGAATAAAAAATCAAATAAAATGTCCTTTTTATTTGAGGGAAGAAAAAAATTCGCAATCAACATCTGAGAATGTGCATTGGATAAACTTTGTCTTAAAATTCTAGTCGGTAAAAGATCATAAAGAGGTAAATCAGTCTATGTTCTTCATAGTTGGTCGAGTCAAACCAAGAAAGCTAATAGAACAACTCCTTTAGGAGTTGAACTTGTGACCATTTATGCTAGAAGTTATTTTTCTTTGTAAAGAAATTAATGTTTATAATATTAAAGCATGTAGAGGATTTGACATCCTTTAATATTATTTGGGAAATATAAGTAGAAATAATTGGGAAAATCACATATTGGTATCCATTTGATATTATTTGTGTACATAAATTATACTATTTGAAAGTATAATATTTGAATACTAAAAGTATATTATTTTGTATATTATCAAATAATGTACATTCAGTACACAAATAATTTACTTTTAATATAATATATTAAAATGTACCTTATATTCAGAAAAATTATAGTATTTGAGTACTAAAAGTACATTATTTTGTATAATGTACATTCAGTACAAAAATAATATATTTTTAATATATTAAAAATGTATTTTTTTTTATGGTATACACAACACTGTGTGGACCACGGTCCACATAATAATTTGCTGGTAGAGCTATCAAAAGGAGGCTCACACCGCTGTATTAGGCCTGTTTAACGCAATTTTTAGGTGGGTTAGGTTGGAGAAATTTTTAATGGGAAAATTTTAATGTGGACCATGATCCACGTAGCAGCATGGACCAAGAAGAAAAATGACGTAGTTTGAATTGTTTTCTCTGTTTTTTGAATAGATATTTGCAAGGAATGGAACATTGCCTATAAAATAACAATGTTATCACCTTAAGGAAGCTTTAGGCTTGCAAAGAGAATAAAACAACTATAGAATAACAATATTATCACCTTAATGAAAATTTAGGCTTGCAAAGATGCGTCGAAAAGAGAAGAAAACAACTACTCTGAAGATTAGAGACGTAACAATGGCGTGCTGGAGAGGTAACGAAGCCAAATGTTTGCTTTTCGTTTATATATATATATATATATATATATATATATATATATATATTAAGAAGTATTGCACTGCATGCTGCCAATACTTGATTGGCATATCGTATGTCGTCATTTTGGACCATATATGATCCACACAGTCAAGGGTGGAGCCACCCCTTGGGGTAGGGGGCCCTGGCCCCTCACCCCACCTCCCATTTTTAGTAAACATATATGTATATATTATTAGATTATGGATAAATTACATTTTTGGCTCCCCTCGTAATTTTTTTTTTTTTTTTTTTTTTATAAATCTATTATATATTAAATGAACTCAAAAGTTACACTTTTTGTCCCTAAGTTATTAGATAATTGTAGAATTCGTCCCTAATTGTTGGTTGTGCTCACTTTTCGGCCCTAAGGTATATTTGACGTCGCAAATTTCGTCCTTTTAATAACAAGTTGTAGTCACTCTTCGTCTTTAAGCTATACTAGCGTTGCAAATTTTGATCATAATGTTTTGTTAGTAAAGGGACGAAATTTGCAACTTCAATTAGGGAGTATAATTTAGGGATGAAAAATGAGCACGACTATTAATTAGAGATGAATTCTACAATGACCCTATAACTTAGGGATGAAAAGTGCAATTTTTCTTTTTGTTTTTTTTTTTTAACTATTTTATATATTTTGTGTTCTGTGAAAAATTCGAAAGTAATGTTTGACAATCTTAACGATCGTACTCATATAATTATAAATTTAATATATTATTGCACATAGTATAATTAAAATAATTATCAATAATAATTGACACAATCATATATGGTATATATATAATGATATTGTATGGTTGGTATTAATGTTGACTAAGATGATAAATTTTCTCTATAAATTCAGGCCCCAACCCAGACTTTCTGGCTCCGCCAATGTACATAGTTGTGTGAATCATGGTCCACCATATAAGGATTGATTTTTAATGTGACCTGGCCAATTCTATGCTAACCATTAGAGATTTGCAAGTTGCAAAACACCACTTATAAAAAATTCCAACATATCAAATACATTAGCCAGCCACATTATTGAAGATGAACTCCAATTCAACATCGACATCATTTAATAACAGACAAGCTGCAAATGAGAACACCACAACTTCAGGCAGCCAGGATGCATTTCTGGGGATGAAGCCAATGCACCATTGTAACTTGAATATGATTCCCTTCAAGAAACACAGACGGAAAAGCTAAAATTCTTTGCAAATACCCAAAATAAAATGTCTAAATGAGGGTAGCTAGGTTTTTATGTTCCATTGGTAATTTGGTACGCATACCTTGGTTAAACCAGATTTCCTCAAACACAAAATTATCAAATTGCATTCTCATCACTCCTTTTTTCGGAGCCTTCATTGGTTTGCAACTCAATCTAATAAAAAAAATAATATTAAAAACCAGAACAATTAAGAAAAAATAGGAGAGGAAGGAGGGATTAAAAAAAATTGATTATTTAGAACCAAATGACTCATAAACTATTTATCAAAATTCATAATTCATAAAAGGGAATTAGAGAGAGACCTTAGTTACATCACGAACAACAAATCCTTTATATCCCAAGTCTCGTTGTGCTTGTTGGATCACCTTTGCTTAAGTCACAAGAGAAAGAACAACAATTGCCATACTCAATTAATCGCAATGTACAAACCTCCTCAAAATCATTTGGAAGTTTTTCCAAGTCCAAGTAATATCTTAGAATTAGACACTCCAAAACTGGGAAATGATTTGCATTTGCATTCCAATGTTCAAGATCAGAGCGCTCAATAAGGAAGAACCGTAGTTGTAGAAACTCCCCATCCTTGGGTGTCCACTCTGGGCCACAAAAGGCAAAATCTTTCAATTTGAGTAAATCAAGGTTGAGTAATTTGGTTTCAGATCCATTATAATCTATGCTTGGTTGATTGTTTTGCCTAAAATAATATACAAGTTAAGTTTCATATACATTAAGATTTTGTATATGTTTTAATTCTTTAAACTATACACATAAAAATATATTTATTCAGTCGGGATATAATTATGTAATTTGAAGTGTATGTTTTGGAGTGAATTAATTTCTAATTCTACTGAAATTAAGAATAATTTTGGCTAAGCTGAATATGTATGCAACCTGAATACATTTATTCTATTAAAGGCATACATCTATTATTTGTGCTTTGCTTTTACAGTATGTATCATGTATGTACATATATATTCGGATTTCATATATGCATATATATACATGTCAGTTTTTTCCAGAAAAATTTTGGAAAAAAATTAATAAATTGTTTTCAAAATATAAAGAAAATAATTTCGAAATTAAAACAATAGACCTACTGCCTTGCTACTTGTTCGCCGGAAAATCGCCGGATTTGTTCGCCGGTTACGGTCTCCGTTTGGTGGCGAAGCTAGAGATGGCGGAGGTGGGTGGTGTCGTTGGACGCTGGACATGGCAACTAAGCTGGCGTAGCACCAGGAGAGATGGCGGGGCGAGGCTGGGTTTCCGGTTGTCGCTGCTTCCTCTTCTTCAGGCGACGCCGGCGAAGTTGGGTTGTCGCTGCTCCTCATGCTCCAGTCGACGACGAAAGGGAACTGTGGCACTGCCGTGATGGACGGCGGCGATCGCCGGCGTTGGTGTCGTGACAACGAGTGACGGCGGAGGTTGGCTGGGTTACCGGCTCGCCGCTACTGTCCCCCCATTCAGGCGATGCTAGCTTTAGCCATCGTTGCTTCCTCCTTCCAGCGTTGCAGGCTCCGGCTGTCACGGTTCCATCTTCATTACCGGTTGATTTCGTCTTCAGGCAGGCAGGCAGGCAGCTAGGGCTTCTGCCTTTGAAGAAACATGAAGAAGATGATGGAAATAACATTTGGGCCGGGTCTGACCCAGTCCACTATAAAAAAAAAATCTTAAGCCTATTTAAGTATATTGGGCCTGCTTCAGCTTTCATTCATCATATTAGGATTTCTTCTAATATGATTGTTCAATTTAATTTTTCTTAAATAATTATTAAATTATCATTCAATTTGGGGTAAATATTAAGTTATAATTTGCTGTTTGAATTTTAATTTAATGTTAAGGTGAAAATTGAATTGTTTCAAGTTTTACAATTTATGGTTAATAATATATTAATATGCAAAAATCCAAGCATGCTTTGTGTATTCATAAATTATTTTATTATAATTATACATTTAGAAAAGCATATATTAAGGTTGAATTTAGCATGTTATTAACTCATAAATTTATTATTAAAATACCATTCAATTTTAGATCCTCAGGGTAATTTTGGACATTATAGCCTATTAAGGTAGCTTGTTTTGGTTTCGCCTTAATTTTGAGCACATTTTAGTTTTATGTGTCTTTGGGACTTTAGAACCTAATAGTTATGCTGTGCAACCGTGTGCACCATGCATGGTGCACACGGTTGCAAAACGATGTCGTTTTGATTAAAAACGCGAGTCCCATTTAAAAAAAAAATTCAGTTTCGATTCCTCTCAACAGCATTATGTTGTTCATTCATTGTGGATATTTAGTTAATTCATTGTGGATATGTAGTTCATTCATTCCGAATTTTGTGTTATTCATTCACTGTGAATATATAGTTATGAATTTGTGGATAAATAATTCAAATTAAGTACAAAAAAATGCTATTGCAGGGAATCGAACCTGAAATTTTTTTTTTTAAGTGGACGCGCGTTTTTAGTCAAAACGACGTCGTTTTTGCAACCGTGTGCACAATACATGGTGCACATGGTTGCACAGCATAATTTGCGATTTTTTGAACAAGCTATTTGGAACCTATCTTGGGTCATTAAACTGTTAAAGTATGGATCCCACCATTTTGATTGATATTTAAATAATAATTATAGCTCCTTTTGATTATAACATGTTTATTCGGTTTTAATTATTACTAACTACGATGTTTTGGTATTCCTTGTTGGTAATAATATTAAGTTTTGGGTCTATTTTAGTAGTAAGACCATTTTTCATTCATGTTATAATTCACTTGGGTCTTGGCCTGATTTGAGACATTAAGGATTAAGGATTTAATTGTTATTTTGGCCATTAAGAATTACAAACTATTGTTTAAGTTGATTAATTTTTAATCTATCAATAATTTTCAGTGCCTTAATAATAATATTAAATCTTTAATTTCATAGCAAAAGCAATATAGCAGGTATATTGTCTATATAATGGTAATTTGGTTATTACCTTAACTTCAGTCTCCCTAAGTATCATAGTAGTCATGGTTAATTATTATGTTGTAAATTGAGAGTAGTATTTGGCATCCCTTAATTACAATTTTGCCTTTATTTTAGTTATTATTAATTGGCATTATTAATTACTGTTATTAAGTTTAGGGGCTAATCTCATTTATTACCTTCCATAATAATAATTATTATTTCATGACAATATGCTATATTTGGTACATTGGCATGATTACCACTTCATTTTACATGACTATTAATATTGGTAATTAAGTTCTACCAATAAAATTTTAAATGTACCATTAGACACTGCATCGAGGCTATTGACACCGATAGTGAAGATGGGAGAACTCTGGAGTTTTTTTTTTTTTTTTTTTTTTTTTTTTTTTTTTTTTCTTCTCTTGTGGATCATCATCGTTGTTAGCGCAATGGGGAGATGCGGTTTGCATCATTAAGGTTAGTCATTAATCATCTTTTACGGTTATTATTGATATTTAGTGCTACAGTTACAGTTAACCGCTAATTTGGACTAGTCACATATTTTATCTTTAGAAAAATGAAAACTTTTAAAAGTCCATTACCATACTTTAGTTTGTCATTATTAATGTTAATAGTGATTATAATGTTACTTATTGCTATTAATAATTAATTAATGATAACATTAATATTGTTATGGCATTCAGATATGTATCTTAAATTGTTTTTAAATAAATTTATGTGGCAATATTCGAGTCAGAAAATAATTTTCTTGACATTAAGGTTTTTTCGGACTTCAAATTTTATTAAGTTTTCAAAATTTTATCCAAAAACGTTTATAAATGTTAGCGGTTTTAACATTTGTTTTTCTATATTTAGTCTCCTACTTAATGTGATAATATTATTATGGCTATTTATTGCTATTTTGGTTATTTGCAATTGTGCCATTAATAATAATAATATTATTAACTGGATATGGAGAGTGGTTCTGTATCAATTTAGTAATTTTGGAAAAACATTATCCAGGCAATTGGATATTGCTATTAATTTCATAATTCATTTAGTTCTTTGAATTATGATTTTAGATCTGATTGCCCATATTTGGTTAAGTATGAATAAATGAATATTTGGTGTAAATTAATATTCTTTAGTTGGTTCATACTCTTTAGATTGTTTTATGCATTCGATCACATTAAGTGCATAATATTAAGTTTAATTATGCAATTAGGGTTTGTGAGATTTAGATTTACAAATTATAGCATATCCATTTGGTTTGATATTGTTTGAATTTGTAAATTCAGTTATTTCTCATGAATTTGATCTTCATGCATTAAATACCATGGGCTTACAGTTAAAAATTTTTAAAGTATATATTCAGTACATTATTATTCAAAATGTTGGGTCTCTTTTGGTTTGGACTCATCGGTGTTTGAATATTAATTTTATACTTTAAAATCTCATATTGTAAATTGCTTCAAGTTATGTAATTTATTTGGAATATATGAGTTTAATGTTTAATTTTATGCATATTGGTCCTAAGCATAATATTATGTTTTAAATTATGCAATTTTATTATGCCTTTAGCAATGCATACTTTGAGATGGAATTATATTAGTTCCTATTTAAGTTGGACTTACGCATAAACTTTAGTCGCGGTAGTGCCTGAATTTTAGCACGTTTAGTCCGCTATTTTTAGTTCACCATTTAAGCTTTAATCATAGGTGAACCATACAGTTTTCTAGTGTATACCTTACGGTTTTAGGTTCATACCCCCAAAGAGTTAAACATTAAGTATATATTTGAATCGGGGAGACATACTAGTTTTAATGGCCATGACTTAAGAACATCTTGTGCGACTAGTCTCATTAAATTGATACTGTGACAACCCAAAATTTAATTTTATAAATCTAATTTTAAGAAATTCCAAAATAGCCATTTTCACTCCATTAATTTTTTTTTTTAAATAAATTGGTGTTTGAATAAATTATTTTGAGTTACATTTTAAATTAATTCAACACCGGAACTTATTTTAATTCCAAAATCCTAAACTTTCGGGTACTTCGTGTGCCAAGTTTTAAACTTAGAAACCAATCTGAGTAAGACCGGGAGAAATCTGAACAAGTGTTTGTTTAGAAATCATCTTAGGAAAAATATATTTTGACCCCAAACTATTTAAAATCACCTTTCTAGACTATGGTCCATGTTGCAAGGTGGACCAAAGGCTTTTCCTCGTTGTCTGATAATTCTATAACAACCACCAAATTACCATTTTGCCCTCCACTAATCATTGAGTATCATCCTAGGGTTTTGCACCCTATAAAACCCACCTTATTCCCTCATTGACTCCCTGATCTCTTTCTTTGCCTCACCAAAGTTTTGTCTGCCAAGTAGAAAGAAGAACAACACAGTAAGTTTCATCCTCCTTCTCCATTCAATCCTAGCCTTCCATTTCCCTTCTAGCTTTCATCCATTCTCCGAGGCTCTAGTCTTAAGCTTTGTATGGTTTGTTTGGGGAGTTTAGGTGGTGAAGGAGGTGCTAGCTAAGTTGGGAGGAAGAAGAGATCCAAGCTAGGAGTGCAAGCTTCAAAGGTATAACCCCACGGATTCCCACTTTTAGTTTTGGCTCTGTGAAACCTTGTTCTTAGGTAGAAATGAGTGGAAATGCTAGGTTTTTGATGTGTTTGAGCTATGAAATGATCTATTACTTGTCTATGATATGTTGTTAGTGTTTTGGATGTGTTGAAATTGAGTGAAATTGAATTGCAGATGAAGAGAGATCATCTGGTGCACAGACAGTGTGCACCAGATGAAGTAACGCCCTAGCCAACGGCCCAACAAGGGGACCGTTGGCTAGAGCCATGGCCGGCCGGGCCTAGGGAACGGCCCTAGGAGAGGGCTTTTGCCTAGGGCCGACATTCTTACGGCCTGAGGGGGCGGGCCATGATGAGCACCGCCCCATGGTCCCTGAGTTACTCCTGTGCAGTGGCCGGGCCCTTGTGGTTCAGCTACGTGTCGTTTCGGACTAGGTGTCACGGGTCCTTGTTGCTCGGTACCTTGGGGCCGGCTTGACGCACGTTTTGGCTTTGATTTCGTTGAATTTGAATTAGAAATGAGCATGTTATGATGGATTTAGTGATGAAATTGCTTCATAGTATGTTTGTTTGAGTTCACTGATTTAGGAATCGCTTTGTTTTGTTCCCTTGATGCTATTTGTGTATTGAATAGAGAAGCATGAACACTTTGCGAAAAAGAATTATTAGAAAAGCATGAGTAGAATGTGTTGTATGTTCAATGGAATTTGAAGTCTATTTTGATGGTAGAAATATATAGAGTTTGTTATGTTGCAAACCGAGCATGATATTGTGTTCTTGAGAGTTCTATGTGATATATATGGATTTGGAGCATGTTGTACAATATTTTGCATTCCAAGTATATCATGTTTTAAAAGTGCATAAGTGGCCAACGTGAGCCTAAGTATTTCTTTCAAATATTCATGAGCATGTGGTATATAATTATCTTGTTGCATTGAGACGTTGTTGAGATGTGGCATGCATAAGTTTGGTGCATGATATATATATATATATATATATATATATATATATATATATATATATATATATATATATATATATATATATATATATATATATATATATATATAGATTTTGGTTCCTGTGAGGTCAGGTCTTCCTGTGCGGTCAGTGCGGCATACACCATTAGGTATGCATAAATGCACCATACAGTGTTCGAAAATACACCAGAATGAATTACCAAAAAATACACCACACAAAAAAAAAAAATACACTGCACATAATGGTGTATTTACGAACACTGTGTGGTGCATTTATGCATACCTAATGGTGTATGCCGCACTGACCGCACGGGAAGACGTGACCTCACAAGAACCTCACCCTATATATATATATATATATATATATATATATATATATATATATATATATATATATATATATATATATATATATTGTCTATATCAGTGAGATTTTGGAGGACCCTGTTTGGACTATGTCTTCTCGGATGAAAGTTATGGACATTGCGGTCCCAGTATATGTAACGCGGTGTATTCCCATGTTACGAGGTTGGAAACTTCCCGCCATGCTTGGAATCCTGGTCAGGGGGTGTGCACGCTGATAGTTCGATATCTGATTCCACAGAGTTTGAGCATAGAACCCAGAGAGTGGTTCGGTGGACGAGCAGAGTATTAGGTCGGCTAGACGCCGTGCCCGGATAGGTTCGTTCACAATATGGTGAAGTTCCTACCTCGTCCATTTATCAAGAGAGTGAGTCATTGCGACTCTTAGAAAAGAAAGAAAGAAAGCGAGTCATTGCGACTCTAAGAAAAGAAAGAAAGCAAGCAAGAGACCTCCACAGAAAGTATTCTATTTTACAAACGAGTGTATGAGTATACTTATAGTATTGCACGAGATTGCATAATGAGAATGTTTGCACTAGATTGCATAATGAGAATTATTAACCGAGATTGTATTTTGAGTATGATTGCTTTAGTTGCATTTTGATGTCTTACATATCCAGTTTGCATGATGAGAACTTGAAAGCATGAAGATAATTTCGTATTGGTTGCTAGTATGAATATGACTGATAGCATGATTTAGTTATGATGAGATTTGTTATGAGAAATATGTGTTGGTATATTTATGTTGTCGAGTTATTTATATTTGAAGCATGCCCATTGATATTATAGGTTGCGAGCATATAGAAAGTCTGTGATGTATCTAAAGTTGTCTAAGTGTTGAGATTGCTTGATTGAGTTTGTGAACAAATGTTTTTCCAAAGTATATACTGTAGTAATTTACAGGATTGAGTGTGGTTATACTTAGCTTCGTGCTAACGGGTGTTTTCCTACTTGTCTATGTGTTGTTTTGCAAAACCCCTTTCAGGTGGGCCCAGCGTTTGAGAGATGATCGAGTTAGACTAGTCTAGTAGATCTAGTAGTCTAAACTCTTATTGTTGTTATGATGTTTATTGGATGATTGTGGACTTTGATATTTATGTTTGATGTTAGACTTCGGGGTTTTTTTTCCCGCAAATGACTTTAATTTAAGTAATTCGAATGTTAGTTTGGTTTAATGATCTAGTTCTATCCTTAGCCTGTACAATCACCGTGGAGAGGTGACTGTGGCGGTGACATTCCCACTAGTTTATTATTTAAGTTATTTATCCGCTACGTAGTTTACCTTGAATTTGGGTATTAGAACTGTAATTAGGTTTAAGAAAAGTGGGTTGTTACAAATTGGTATCAGTGCGGTACGAACCGCGGGAGACTTAGGAAGTTCTCTGAGGATTGAGTATAGAAACTCTAAGTGGAAATCCTAGGAAGGACCGATTAGGAAATGACCTCTAAGTTGAAATCCTAAGTGGAATAAGTTAAGAAGATGAACTTAAAGGAAATCCTAGGACGGATGAGATTAAGGAAAGAGCCTTAAGTTATGAAGATTAAGATGGGAAAGACTCTAAGTTCAGTGACTAAGTATGAGATCCAGTGTTAAGAAAAACCCTAAAGTATCAATTAGGAACGCGGTGAGGTTGTGAGTTCCTTGCTTTGTTCTAAATTGCTTATGTGATTTATCAATGTGTTTAAAGTGTTTTTGTAATCTCTTTGAGTAAAGTAGAGAAGTTATCAGTGAGAAGTTGAAATGAAAAACCAATAGTTTGAAAGTTAAAGCATAGAAGAGAAGTTTTCTTTGAAAAGTTGTTCAAGTAGTTGAGAAGAAGTACCTTTGCTTGTTTTGTGTGTCTTGCTTGTTGCGAGCTTTGTCTTAAGAAAAGAAAAGTTAGATTCAGCTAACCCTTAGTTGTGCTAACAAGTATGATCTGTTCTGGTCATGTTAAAAGGACATCGCAATGCCGCTGCGAAGAGTTAGAGAGGAATCTCCTCACTCCTCAGGATCCGGAGCGTCATCATCTACTGACTTGACCGAGATCCTGCGCCAGCTCACCCAGTTCACTCAGACTATCGGAGCCACCGTTCTCAATGGGAACAACGGTGGCTGTGATGTGTCTAGGAAGATCACGGGACGCAATCCACCGAGTTACCTAGGCCAGGAGGATCCAGAGGTTCTCGAGAGTTGGATTCGTACGTTTGATAAGCTGTTCGACGTGGTAGGTTGCCCGATGGACCAGCAAGTGGATGCTGCTGTGTACTACCTTCAGGGAGAGGCTGACCATTGGTGGGTGATGGAGGAACCGACTGCTCAGGCGAGAGAGGGGTTTGATTGGGAGATGTTCAAGACGGTACTGAGGGAGAGGTTCTATCCGTAGCATGTTAAAGCTGCCAAGTATGACGAGTTCTTGCATCTCGAGCAAGGAAGCTCGGCTGTCCAGGAGTATCATGCCTGCTTTGTGGCGCTATCTCGGTTCGCTCCTACCTTGGAACCTGATGAGGCTAGTAGAGCTCGTAAGTTTATCCGAGGACTGCACTATGATGCACAGAAGTCATTCTCCGCGACAAGGTTTGCTACATTGATCGAAGCCTACGACGCAACTGCTGGTTACTCTAGGATTCAAAAGTTGCATCGAGATTCCATGCAGGGATTGAAGAAAAAGAATGAGGGTGTGGATTCACAGTTGAACAAGGGGCACAGGTTCAATCTGACGGGCAGATACGACAACCGAAGTGGGGAACGAAAAAATCTGGTGATGAGACAGGGAGTTGGAGCTGGAGGACCACCTAGTGAGAGGGGTACGGTGTGCCCGAGATGCGGTAAGGACCACGTGTGGAGGGATGCCTGTGATTTGTTTCCAGTGTGGGAGGCCGGGCCATAGAGCTGCAACATATCGGTATCCGAGGACGGAGGGATCTCATGGCACGATCCCGAACCAGCCACCTAGAGGTCCGGGTAGTCAGGCACCAAATCAAGCTATGGGTTGTGGATATCCACCGAGAAGAGGTCCACACAGGAATGGAAATCATGGACGAGGTGGAGCTCAGCAAGGACGTTCGGGAGGAGCTGGACCAGGAAGGATCATGGTCATGGGACAGACACAGGCCGGTGGCCACAATCTTGTGAAAGGTAACGCTCTAACTTGGAATGAGTGCGTGGAATTCTTGCACGAATATTTGATTGAGTTGTGTATGCTTGAGAAAATTTGTTGCAAGTTGTACTTAGTCTAAGATTTTGAGAATTTAAGAGTTAATTAGAAGTGTTTTAGAGAAAGTATCGGCAAGAATGCCAGGATTAAACGAACAAGAGATTAGAAGAATAAAAGTAGCTGTAAGTAAGAGTAAAATCGCTAAGAAACTGTTAAAGTTTAACTAAAAGAGTTGATTTCCGAAGTAGAAGTAAGAACGAGAAAGAGAAAGAAATGACGAGAAAAGAATTGGATAAGAATTTAATTTAAGTTTAAGTTGGGACAAGCAATTCCCGGAAGGAACTTAAAATTCAAAGGATTGACTAAGAATCGGGATTTATTAAAGTCGAGGACTACATCCAATTTGACCTGATTTGAAGATTTGACAAAGTCAGAGGACCGAAAGAAGTTGGGGCCGGATACCCAACCCGGATGGCGGAGCGAGGCCACGGATTGGAACGGACTCCGTTCCGTGTAACAGAACGTGGTCACGAACCATGTTATGGTCCGTGACCTGGGGCTGTGTCAGCAGCGCTGACACTAGGCCTTGGAGGCGGGCCACTTGGAGGGCCGCTGCCAAGCCCCACCAACCCTTAACCTTTCATCAGATTTCCCCCAAAATCATCATCTTCTTCTACCTTTTGGCGTAGCATTCTGCCTCAACTCAAACAAAAACCTATCTTCTCCAAAACTTCATCTTTGCTCCAAGAAAATTCAAGAGGGCCTTCTACAAGTCATCCTAAGTACAAGAAAAATATTACTTGGGTCATCTACCCCAATCCAAGCAAGTTCAAGCCAAGAAGTTTTGGACTACAATGGAAAAAGGAAAGCAACAAGTGGAAGGAACTACTCATGAAGGCCCTACTTACACCGTGATTGGAGGTAAAACTTATTTTCCTGAGTATTTTTCTGAGGATTTTAATAGTATACTGGAAGGTCGAGGATTATTGAAGAAATTCTTAAGGATACAGGAAGAAATTTATCCGGATTTAGTGATTGAGTTTTATGAAAATTTGTCCACAAAGCATAAGAAGGGAGTGACCATGATTACCTCTAATGTGAGAGGTACAAAAATTGAATTGACACCACAAAAGTTGTCTAATTGGTTTGATCTACCATTAGACGGACTGGACATTTATGATCGGGATGATTGGATTACCCACGAGTGGTTGACATATCATGAGTATCTGAGATATATGACTGGTAGTAGGGAGGAATTCCCTAAGGAATACAGACCTAAGAGGCCCACTCTGACTGGTGAAAAGAAGTTGTTGGTATTGTTGATAGAGGAGTGTTTGTTTCCATGTAGGAACAACTCCATAGAGATTGGTAGTTGGACTTGCACTATTGCTTTCTTTTTGAGGTTTGGGCGCGCGATAAATCTGCTAGTTTTAATCCTCAAACACATGTCTTATTTTAAGTCGAAGAACATGAAAAACTTGCCTTATGGTATGATGTTGAGTTGGGTCTTTACAAAGATGAATTTGCCCGAGAGAGGAGAAAGGATACAAATGACCACCATGACGGCTTTGAATGCCACCAATCTGCGGTACTATGAGCTATACCAAACCACCGACAACAAGTACCTAACTTTGGCAGACATTACCAAGAAACCTATGGATGAGAGGATTGCACTTGTGGTCAGCCTGAATGTGCCACAAAGGAAGTGGTCTGATGTTGGAATTGAATCTGGACATGTAGCTGAGGCTAGTGGTGAAGGAAATATTGTAGGAACCGATCAAGGAATGGGAATGGTTAATGAGGGAGCACTGGTTGCAGCAACCCAGACAGGAGCACAAGAAGGATACATGAGCGGACCTAGAGGACCCACCTATGAGGATTTGTAAGCTATGATCAATACCCGATTTGACAATCTGAGTGCTCAAGTTAGCTATGGATTTGCTAATTTTGATCAAAGGGCAGCTGTGATGGAGGAAAGAGTGGGAATTGAAAACGTGAAAAAATGGACTCCTTATGGATGGGATCTTAGCTGCATGCCACCAGGAGTTTCTTCGGGAGGCTTCAATTAAGGTAAATAGTTAAGCCTTTGAGTTCAGTTAATAGATTTGTTATGCGTTTAGTTGCATAAGTTTTAGCTTAGTTGAGAACTCAGAGATTCCTAAACCTTTTAAAGTATTCCAACAGAAATACCTAACCTCCTTGTTGTATCTCCTTTTACCCTTCGAAAGTTTGATCAACTCATTTCTTCTAAGTTTCGGGACGAAACTTCTTTTAAGGGGGATAGAATGTGACAACCCAAAATTTAATTTTATAAATCCAATTTTAAGAAATTCCAAAATAGCCATTTTCACTCCATTAATTTTTTTTTTAAAAAATAAATTGGTGTTTGAATAAATTATTTTGAGTTACATTTAAAATTAATTCAACACCGGAACTTATTTTAATTCCAAAATCCTAAACATTCGGGTACTTTGTGTGCCAAGTTTTAAACTTAAAAACCAATCTGAGTGAGACCGGGAGAAATCTGAACCAAGTGTTTGTTTAGAAATCATCTTTGAAAAAATCTATTTTGACCCCAAACTATTTAAAATCACCTTTCTAGACTATGGTCCATGTTGTAAGGTGGACCAAAGGCATTTCCTCGTCTGATAATTCTAGAACAACCACCAAATTACCATCTTGCCCTCCACCAATCATTGAGTATCATCCTAGGGTTTTGCTGTAACACCCCGTGTTACGATCCCTAAAACCAATTAAATCATTTAATTAATCACCTAAGAGAAAGAATTAAATCACAACAATTAATTAGGGAGGCCCACCATAGTCCATGGGCCCTTATCCCTAAACCCAATCCTTAGTCCCAAAAGGAATAGTGTTAGCAAACCTATAGTAATTAGGCCTAAGTAAGACTCTTAGATATATAAATAGGGAACATAAGGAGGCACCTAGAATCCCCACCACAATAATCCCTCACCACACAAGAAGCTCCAAGAATTCCCCTAGGAGAAATCAAGAAAGAAGAAAGCTTCAAGAAAGACCCTTCATAGACAAGGAATTAATTAAGGCTAAGAGGTAACCCATGTCTCAACAAAACCTTTTTTCATAGCTATGATTCCCCTCTTAGGATTTCCCCATATTATTCTGTATTGATGATTGTGATATTATTATTGATGATTGGTGGGATGATTCCATGGGTGATCTTGATGATGAGAGGTTCTTGGTAATTATGGTGTTCTTGATAATTATATGACGTTCTTGATGATTATATTATGTTCTTGATAATTGTAAGATGTTCTTGATGTTTATGTGATATTCTTACCGAATCTTGATATTAGAAGATGAATTGTGTCCTTGTTGATTTAAAAGTGATTAGAACCCTAGGTTGTATCGTATGATATCATTCTTGGTATATGGGGTGGGAATTCGCATGATTGAGTGTTGATTATGTTTAGAAAAGCATGATAGGTTATGTGCCGTATGTTTCTTGATTTTGATCCGTTAATTGTCTACGTGTGTTATCAATTGCGTTTGAAAGTGTCTAAGCATGGTTTCGGGTTCCACAAAGGTTCCCGGGGCGTTTTTGTGATGAAAGAGTCAGTGGGGGGTAGGTGGGGGTAGGGGACCCGCCACCTACTCGCGGCCTTCTTGGGCAACACCGGCAGCGGGCGGCCGGCGGGCAGGCAGCTGCCCGCCGGGCACCCGCTGCCCGGATTAGCTGCTGCCGGCGGGCAGCCGGCGGGTGATCCCTCACCCACCGGCTACCCGCTGGTTTGAACCCCACTTTGGGATTTTGGCTTCCCCGTTTAATGTTTCCCCGACCCCGTGGCGTCCCAACGGACTCCGTCTATCGTACCTATGTCTAGTTTGATATTTCGGGTACCGTTCGTAGGTTGTATGAGTCTTATATATTGCATGCTAGTTGAATTGGTATCCCGTTGACCTAGGTGAAAGAAGTATGAACCCCTTAGGATTATTCTTAATATGTGAAGGATCACGCATAGGTTTTGTTATACGTTTTCTCCCCCTTCCCAATGTGATAATGTGGGTTGCATGTGCTTGCTATGTGTTATGTGTGCATGATACCCCAATCCGGTTGCGATCGGATTGGTTATTCCTGAGCTGCGGTTCAGAAGCTGGCTGCGGTCAGATTTACACTCTTGGGCTGCGGTTCACCGTTTGGTTGCGATCAAACGTTTCTACATGAGCTTCGGTTCATAATTTCCTGGCTGCGGTCAGATGACATACTCTTGGGCTGCGGTCCACTGTTTGGTTGCGATCAAACTATGATGAGCTGCGGTTCATCGGTCGGTTGCAATCGACCCCTCCGTGTTGCGATACGGGGCAGGGTGCTGCGGGGCCGTGTCAGAGCTATATGCGGTGACCCTCATGTATGGGCATGCGATTGGTCCTGTGACGCCAACAAAGTGTGCTATGTGATGAAATACGGATGAGTTGTTGTTATGAGTATCTTGGGGATGTGACTAGGGGATTTACACTGGGAATCGCATGTGTTGGGTTATGATCATTAATCATGCTTATCTTTACCTGTCTTGCCTGTTTGTAACTATATATGTTGGTTTAACTGCTGTCTGTGCTTAGCCCTATCTGATGAGTCTATCTCTATTTTAAAAGCTAGAGTTCGTAGGATATATCTTCATGTTCAAAATGGCTTTTGTATATCTATATGTATTGTATTTCAACGCGTTGGAGTGGGTTACCAGCATCTCTCGCTG